TTTGAGGTCTGGATGGAGTCCTGGAGGATGCATCACTGGTCATTATTATTGTATTCTTGGTGGATGGGGAGGATGTCCCACTTGCTGTGACACTGGTCAGACTGCTGGAGGAGAACATACCACCTCTAGTAATGCTTGTGGTTGGAGCTTGGGATGAGGAGATGTCAATTTTTGAGGTGGATGGAGTCATGGAGGACTCATGAATGGTCATAGTTTTATTCTGGGTGGTTCCGGAGGACATCCCATTTGTGGTCAGATCACTCAAGGAGGACATGTCACCTGTTGTTTTGGCTGTAGCTAGAGTGTCATATGAATAGGTGCTATTTGGGGGGTCCAGTGTAGTGTCAGATAACACAGTATTGATATTGTTGGCCGTGTTCTGCAGGGTTGGAGTCAGCGTCTCATTTATTACACTGGTTACACTGCTTAACAGGGACATATCGCCTACTGTGGTTGCTATAGTTGTGGTGTCCAATAAAGAGGTGACACTTCTTGATCTGTCTGTGCTTATAGATGATGTGAGATGTTCCCCTGGAATATACATAATCAGATCAATAATCAGGGAATACATAATCAGATAAAATTAAAATACATAATCAGATAAAACAACACTTTTCCACCTTTCATTTATTTTCCCTCTTAAATAGCTGTATTTGTTTTTATGAGATATAAAAGCCAGTATTATCCCTGCCTTTCATAGGTCATGCCCTTGACTTCTTTGCAGTCCTTTCTAGTGTGTTATTAAAATATGTATTTGACTGTTTTTTTCTATTGCTACTTGTATATGTTTTCTATCTTTCCTCTCTGACTGTGTTTTGTCTTTATTTGGTTAGGGCTTTTTGCTTTTTTCATTTTTTGGTTTGGTTTTTTTATTAGTTCAATTGTTAAAACTGACTTTTGTGCTTCATTTTGCTCTCAGGACATGATTTAATTATTCCATTGAAAATAATTGGCATTATCGTATTCTTGCCTAATTTGAAATGTAGTCTAATACAAAACTTGTATTTACATTTTTTGGAGATTTTTATCCGATATTTGGAAACAATCAAAATGCACCCCATTTTCTTTGTCCCTTAATGGGTTAATGGACAAATAAACAAAGTACAATGGAGTACTTTGTTGTTACTGTTTTTGTGA